CGCAGTGGCGGGCTACCGGCCGGGAAATCGAGGAAGACTGACCGTCGTCTGCGAGCTGATCACCGTTTAAATCCGTGGTTCCCACTTTTCACGGCGATCATGTTATATCGTGTATAAATTCTGCGAGGTGCGTCAGGTCGCGACCGTGGCCTACACGCGTGCCAAATAGGCGATCAAATATATGGCTGTCAAACAGCACGGGACTCGTGTGCTTTTCGAATCCGTGCTTGGTGGCCGGCCAAATGCGAGGGATTTCAACTCGATGATGGCTATCGAAAATTCCATCGTACCATTACATCTCCATGCACTCGAGATATCTCGCCTGTGTTTTCAGGTATCGCTGATCTTCCAAGAATGTGGGATATTTGTTTCGCGCGATTTCTTTTTAGCGTACAGCTTTGGACACTGAGCTCTCCTCGGAGGAGTGGAATTTTTGCGAATAATATCAAGCTTCGCTTTTTCTCCGTCTTTTATTTATTCTCGAACTTTTCCGCTAAGAATTAATATGGCTGGCTAACTTTGTGAAGTACTTTGATATTTTGTGAACGAGTAAATGGTTTTTAATTCTCCTTTCAATGGGCACGCGAGAATTTTGTGTTTGTTCTATTTAATTGCTGAGTTTCGAAATTTTTATGAACGAGCTTTATTCTTTTTTCTTTTTTTGTGGATTTTTCTTACCTTTTCCGAACTGAAGGAATCGCTTTGGAGCTTCATCGTAGAGGCAGCCATGTTATTGCTTTCCTGATGCGACAGGTCGCCAGCTTTTAGGCTTCTCTGTTCCTGTAACAGACAGGAGAATAAGGTTTATTAATATTTTTATGAGTGATAGACTCCTGGGTCGCATAACATCGTCTTTATGTATCTTTCAACGAGCTGTATAAAGATAACATTCTAAATGTCTTTCAACAACGAAAAGAGCATTCAAAAACATACCCAAGATTTTCTATTATACTGCAAAAATGTCTCAAGGAGAAAAAGCGGAGTAGAAACAAATATTTTAAGAACAAGCAATTTCGAAATATTTTCTTGCTACGTGACGATACAAAAATAAGCAGAAAATAACGTCGAGGTTCATGGTTCGACTGAAACGGTCGATTTACATCGACAATTTGCATTAATAATAAAGACAAAGTTAAATTACATAAATTAATGAGGAAGTTAATGCTGACTGCAAATATAAATTATTTGTATTGAAACTTCGTGCTAGAGAATGTTACATAAAAATGGAATAAACGACTGGTAAATATATTTTCGATTTTGCATGTTATTGCTTGAATTAAGTACCAATTAAACGATTCAAAATGGTAGTGTAGAAATTTGCAAGAGATCTATGTCTAAATATATTTCCAGGAAATTTAAAATAAAGTTTCGATAGGTTGAGTTATAATGGCAAATGTTTCACGCGAAACGCCATTTTGATAGCGGGAATACGATGTTGAAATAGTTTATCAAAATTTCTCCAAACACCATTTCAATAATCTCCCAGCTATTCCGAAAAATCAAAACATCGATCGATCAAGCAGAGAGGAGGCAGAAGGGAAAAATTTTTTGAAGTTTGCAAAATTTTGATAGAAAAGTTACGATACCGAAATAACGTTCCAAGAACCTCTCAAGAATATTCCAAAAATATTCCACGAAAATTTGAGGATTTCACAGACCTCCCAGACCTTGAAGATCCTTTTAGAACCACCCGGAGGACGATTCTTATGAGGTACTCGTGTAGAAACGGTATGAAAAGTGGAATATTTAATGCGGTGCCGCGCGTTGCAGGGAATTAGCGCGCTATCGAAGGTCCACTTACGTCGAGTTGGCTAATAACGACGCTAATTCGTGGACGAGCGACGATAGCATCGCGACGCGGTCCACAATTGTGCTTCCAGTGGCAGATTTTCATCGTTCCCCCGCGATGGCAAGGCACGCGCGAACCCTTATTAATCGAGACACTTCTGCGACCTCGTTGTTACGAGACGATCCTTCTTTTGCGCAACCGCCATTGCGAAACCGCCTCGCTGTCGCGACTGGAGGCGTGATTAGATCTTGCTTGGAAGGATCTCCTGATTTCAACTATCTGCTCTCCATTTTGATCCTAATTTCACGAAAATAGTGTGTCTCTTGTACACTGTGTATTTCTAATCTATCAAAACTCTGCCAAAATTGATCCTCCATTCATCCTCCATCAGCGGAACCCAAGGAAATCAAGAAACCCTTGAGATGGAAGATAGAGATGGACGAAAATTTTCAGGAACTATCGACACCAACGCTCGTTATCTCTATGGATTATTCAATGACACATTCAACGAGGAAAATTGACACAGTACTGAACGGTGTCAATGTGATCCGTAGTCTTATCGTCCTCAACCACCATAAAAGCGATCACCGATGATAAATCCTTGGTTTGCTACACGCCCATGAACAGTAAAGCACAGTCCCTGTGAAATAATAAGACGAGGAGTCAATCCCTCGATTTGACACTGACCACTGAGGTGTCAACTCACACCTCAGACTTGGTACCACAATGATATCGACCGAAAGAGAAACGAAACCGGGAAGAATGCAGGGATCGTCCGATCGGCAAGCACAGTGCACAAGAAACGGAGAAAATGTGGCGCGTACCGGCGAACAGAAGCGTCGAGCTTCCAGCGAGGTTCGACGCGGAAAGCCTCGGGGACGGGCTTCCGCGACATAGTTCCATAACAGTCTGGCCCGTTGAAAGCTCATCGGCAGCGGCTCAAATACTTAAAATAATACAACGATCATGGAGGGCTCAAGAGGAAGAAATGGATTGCATGTCATAGACATCATAAAATCGAGTAAAACAAGCCTCGTAGTAACAAACGATCAAGCGATAAATTGGCATACGAAACATAGTCACATGAGATTTGCATATATGAAAAGATTACTGTTTCTTTGTAAATTTATTACCCAACTATATTAATGAAAAAGAATCCTGTGATGCCTGCGCTAAGTCGAAACAAACCAAAGGCAAAAAGACCACACGAAATTATACATTCCGATGTCTGTGATCCCGTTGAAGCAGATACAAAAGATGGAATGAAATATTTTGTAACATTTATGGATGATTAAGCACACTTCGCTGCATTCTGTCTAATCAAAGGTAAATATGAAGTAAATGAAACAGTAAAAATCTATATACAGCAATGCGATGCGAAATGAAACTGAAAGATATGAAAATCATATCTTGCGATAACGAACGAGAATACTATCTACTCAGGAAACTGGAAATCAAATCGGACCACACTAATCCCGAAACCGGGCAAAGACGTTAAAGACGTCAGAAACTGGAGACTCATCACCATCAGGTCACTCCTGGGTAGAATGTTCTTTGCGATGCTCGACAACAGGATACGGAATAGGATAACACAGAATATTTGGCAGAAGTGCTCCACCAGTGAAGACGGATGTAAGCAAAACATAACTATTCCAAGTGCCGCTATAGCCGGAATGAAACGACGAGGAGGTGGAATCGTTACGGTCATCGACATGACATCTCGATGACTTTCGACACAGTACCCCCCACTACGCCATCCAAGACTGCCTCACCAATAAAAGAATACTGGTAACTGCAGCCAAACTTGCCAAATTGCCGAGACGACGGGGGGCGTTAAATTAGATGGAATTAATGTCTCCATCCTTGCCTTCCCGAACGATTTGGTATTGCTGGCGCAAAATAAAGCTCAAACTATCGAACAATTAAGAAAATTCAACAAGTATCCCTCAAAGCTTATCTAAAAATTATTTGGTTTACTTATTAATACTCGCGCTGTATTGGCTATTAATGTCACTTGATTTTAAAAAATAAATAAAGCTGTTTTTACTTTTATTTGGTCATTTAGATATGGTGAAGTAGAAATATGTACATAAATAGATTAACACTTTGACTGCCACGTTGGTCATATATGACCTGCCAAGGTTTTCTCCTCTCACGGTCTTCATTGGTGGCCGGAGCGCTTAACTACTTGTGAAACTACAGTTGTAAAAATTGAATGAAAATTGATAGTTGTTGCATTTTTAATATAACCACTAATCAGAAGATATTTTGAAATAAAAAGTGCCCCCCCCCCCGTTGAACAAATGAAAATTTTTATTAAAACATCGATTAAGAAGATATTAGAACAAATCTTGGCATAACCATAGTAGGAATCACAGGCATCACGCGTCAGTACCACCA